CCATACCTCTCAACAAAACGGCAAACCCGAGCGTATGATACGTCGTTTTAACGACATTGTTCACTCCTTATTAGCTCATGCACACCTCCCCCCCATCGTTTGGGTCGAAGCCTTGCACACCGCCACATACCTTCAAAACATCCTACCCACCAAAACGCTAAACTTTTCCACTCCTACTTCCGCACTCTACCTTCGCCCCCTACTTACGATCACCTACGCATGTTCGGTTGCACTTGCTACCCCGACACTTCTGCTACTCAAACACACAAACTCGACACCCGATCCACACGTTGTGTTTTCCTCGGTTACCCTACCAACTTCTGAAGCTATCGCTGTTATGATCCCACTAGTGGTAAAGTACTCCTCTCCCGTCATGTTGTATTTGATGAGAACTCCTTTCTATTTGCCAACCCTCTTCCATCTTCCTCCTATCAATTCCTCGACCCCCGATACCTACCTCCCTCCCTCAAGTTTTCAAAGCATCTCACCCGACCCTTCAATGACCCTACACCACCACATACCACACCTAGTCTGCCATAGACCACCTCACCTCCTCCACCATCTGCCCCTCGCCACCCCATGACCACCCGTTCCCAGCATGGTATTGTCAAACCCCAACAAATACTCAACCTTCACACTCATCTATCGAAACCCATCTCCCCCGTCCCATCCTCCTACACTAAAGCCCTTTCGGATCCTAACTGGTTAAATGTCATGAAAAACGAATTTAATGCGTTACAAGAAAACAATATGTGGGAGTTAGTTCCATGCCCTTTGGATCGGCCCATTATACGTTGCATGTGGCTTTTTCGCCACAAGTTTCTTGTTATTGGTACTTTACAACGTTACAAGGCCTGACTCATGGTAAATGGAAAATCACAAACGATTGGTATTGATTGTAACGAGACATTTAGCCCGGTTGTTAAACCAACCGCCATTCGTACAGTCTTAAGCCTGGTTATTTCCTGGGCATGGCTGATACACTAACTAGATGTCAAGAACGCTTTTTTACATGAGGATCTTCATGAAACCGTTTATATGCACCAACTGCCGGGTTTTGTCGACTCTACAGCCCCACATCATGTATGTCATCTTCGTAAGTCCTTATATGGACTTAAACAGGCTTCACGCGCCTGGTACCATTGCTTTGCCACATTTATTATTGCTAATGGCTTTCGCAGCAGCGCATGTGATAATTCATTATTTGTCTATCGTCATGGGGCACACACTGTTTATCTGCTTTTATATGTTGACGACATTGTGTTAACTGCATCTGATCCCGACCTTCTAAAGTCTATTATTACTACTCTATCTCGGGAGTTTGCCATGACCGATCTTGAGGCACTACACCATTTTCTAGGAATCTCAGTAACTCGCAACTCTCAGGGGTTATTATTGTCTCAAGCACAATATGCTCGCGAAATCTTGAAACGGGCATCCATGAGCACTTGCAATTTTTCCATCACACCGGGTGACACTGTCTCAAAATTGGATGGTGCCCTTTTGCCAGATGGAACTCTCTATCTTCACCTAGCCGGTGCCCTACAATGTCTCACTTTTACACAATCCAATATCACATATGCAGTCCAATAAGTTTGTCTCTTTATGCATGCTCTACGAAGCGCATTCTTCGGTATATCAAGGGCACTATTGACTATGGTCTCACTATTCACAGCTCTCCCCGACATAATCTCACCACTTATTCTGATGTGTATGACATATCATTTTGATAACTTAATTAAAATAAAAACCTATTTCAAATTATTATTAGTGATTTTCATTTTTTATTGCTATAATTTAAAAAATATTTAATTTTTTTTGAGTTTTTCTTATTAAGTTGCATGCAAATTAAATATTCTAGAGTAAAATATTTCTTAAATAAATATGTTACATTATTTTTTAGATATATTTTGTTTGTAAAAAAAATAACCTTCTTATTTTATATTGTTAAAAAAATACATATCTTTTAAAGTCCTCTCTAAAATATTAACGAAATAAACTGTGTTCTACAGTTTTTTAATATTGTTATATTAATAAATAATTTAAAAAAATTTATTTAATTTAATATATTTATACGTCAAATAAAAGTTTTTGAACAAATATAATATATTATTTAAAAGATAATATTTTTTGGTAAAAAAGAAACAATTCTTATTTTCTTTTTTCAAAAAAAAACGCATATTTTTAAAAAATATTAGCGAGATAAGTTATCTTCTAGCAGTTTTATTAATATTGGTATATTAATGATTAATTTAGAATTTTTTAATTCATTTAATATATTTATTAAATAACATGTAAAATATCTAAATATTAAAATTAAAAATACATTGTTTAATAAGAACTAGTGGATGCTATAATAAAATAATTTTGAAAGTACAATTTTGTAATAAGAAAGTCACATTATTATAGTACATGTGGACAACCTACATGGACAATGAAGTGACATGGAAACCTGTTATAATGAGTAAATTTAGATCAAAAGGTTACCCAATGCTATAATGGGTAAATGTTTTAAAGTACAATGTTCTAATAAAAAATAGTTTGAAAGTACATTGCTGTAATAAGAAAAACTGAAAGTACAATGCTATAATAAAGAAATTTATGAAAGTAGATTGCTATTTTGTGCATTTTGCTCTACTTTATATTATGAAACAATCAAAACTTTTATGAAATTATATATATACCAAATTAAATGAATGGTTGAGATTGAGTTGTAGTGGTTATACAAATATAAAAGGGTTGCATAATAACTCACTTCTCTCTCTCTTTCTTTCTATATATATATATATATATATATATATATATATATATATATGAATATAAAGGGAGCTTCAACGAGAAAAATAATTAAATAAGAGAATACGAAAACAATCAAATCACATGCAAAATCACATGTGTAACCACAAGGACCAAACATATACTTTACTAACATAATAATTTACTAAGTGATACCCTAACACGTGCCTCATCAATAAAAATCACCTCCAAAATTTTAACGTCTCATTCATGTCCATGAATCATGCGAATACACATATTCAAAGAGAGTAAGGTGGGGTTTGATTTTAAAGAGGTGCTGAAGTCTGAAATTTGATTTTACTTCTGATTTATAAGAGATGGTCCTGAAGTCTGAAATGTGGATCAGTAAGATTGTTTGTTTTTACGTCTGAAGTATGGAATTTGAATCGGTCAAACTACTGCAAAAATATAAAAGATAAATAGTTTTTTACAAAAGTATAAAAGATAAATAATTTTACTAACAAAACTATTTCAACCCCCAAAATATGAACCATTTGGTAGAGGACAGATTATGGTTAAGAGGTATTAAGAGATACTTAAAATTCCGAAGAACATTTAGAGCTTTTAAGCTCTTATTTTAAAAATAAAACAAACACTCTTAATACCCAAACGTCTGGACGAATCATATTTCAAAGGTATTAAGAGGTAACCTTGAAAAAACAAACAGGCTCCAAGTAAACACAAATTAAATAAATTTTAAAATAATAAAAATACTGATGTATATAAATTTCATTGATGTTGATGAGACATGAATTGGGACAAGTGATTTTTATCCGTGCCTCATACCAACCCTAGAGATAGGTATTTGGGGTTGGTAAAAAAGGGCCGGACTTGTTGGGTCGGATTAGGACCTGTCATGGTAGGACGGTTGGTTTGGACCAATTAAACAATTTCTCAGGGAGACCGATCACATGTTCGGTTAAGGGGATTCATAACAATCTTTTTTTTTTCCCCGATTAACTTGGATATCCAACCCACTATGTGAGCCGACTAATCCTCGAGCGATCACCTGTTTTGCGGGTAGCCTGGAGTCTGCGCATTTAAACCTCCGTGACCACAAGGGGATTTTTTTATTCCTCCTAAGATTTGAACCTGAAATGTCCATGACACTTTTGACCTTTGAAACCAAAACTTAAACCAATCAAACACCATCTATTTAATATTAACCAATATCTCATAATACCATATGCAAATACAACTCACATGAAAGAGACATCATTTTTTATTAAATATATAATAAGAAACTATCCAAAATCAAATTTTTTTTATCAAATGTATAATAAATAAATAAATAGTTCATATATTTATACTACCTTATAAACCAAATTTATCAAAAGTCTTAAAAATAATTTTTAATGCACAAAGTTCTATACATTTATGCACAAAGTCTTAAAAGTCTTAAAAATAACTCATAATGCATTATGAGTACTACTACTTTATGCATTTAATCTTAAAATCTCTTAATCTACAATTAAAATAACATATAGTGCAAGTTTTCAATGTACATTATTACCTTTTCTTTTCATGTTCCCAAGATACTTTTAACACATTTTACTCATACATTAACCCTCTCATACCTCTATGTCTTATCTCCATCGCTCAAGGTGAGATTCAAACTGATATTCACTATAAGTTATTAAAAGTTTTCTTATTCATCTCTCATTCAATTGCTCTAGAACTCTCAGTCTCGCTCTCGATCTCTTGATTCTTTGCTCTTGATGTAAATCGAACACATTTGTGGAGTCGTTTAAATACGTTGGATTTTAAATATATTGGATTTTAAACTGTCATGCAATTTTACTTATCGATAGACTGTAATTGGAACCAGAACTCTTATTTATTCAAACTGTATTGATATGTAAAAATCAAGTATAACTTATATCATCGTTAAATCATATCTAATAAAAACAATGAAACTTCATAATCGTTAAAGTTCACAGCTCTTGCCGCATTGCACAAGTACATAACTAGTTAAAAATAAAGGGCCAGTTATAACAATTAGTTAAAGATATTTTATCCTTGATCGGTTCAAGCTTATGTAAGGTTGGAATCAAGACTCGTTAACCGGTTGCAATTAACCGGTTTGACCATCTCTTCCTGGTGGGAGGTTCCTTTTCCAGAAGCAGGAGACCGGAACTCGAGATGCACAAACCGGTAACCCGTCCATTCCATATGGTCTTAATATATTTTTATTTATTAGCATATGATCAGGAACCAAAACGTTTTATTATTTGGAACATGCTATCACTTGCATCAGCAAACTTACAGGGAATTTACACCCAATAAAAGTAACCTTTCTAAGCAGGGACGGACCCAACAATTTTTTGATACGATGACACCATATAAAACTGTTGCACCTTCTAGAATAAGCGGTTACACCTTTCACGAACCTAAATTTTTATACCTTACCACAGAGGAACAATAAGGTGGCACGTGCCACCTAACCACCCCTCTAGGTCCGTTTTCTAAGCAGTTTCCACTGGCCAAACAACACCACCATTCCTCCTGTTGTTTGGTGAAGATTTTGGTTTGGGAGAGAGGTTAGTGAACTCCAAGGCCTGCAACCTGAGCTCAAGTGGGTAGTCTGCGATACATCCGATTCTGGGTCCGGCCCCGGTTGACCATTTCAGCGATAGTTGGTTTCCTAACTGGTATGACCGAGCCGCCTTCTTTGAATTGATCCTTTCTAGTATCGCAGTCTTGGGTACGTCTGCTTTTGGGCTTTGAAGACCCCCCGATAGACTCCTTTTGTAGCTCACGTTCTTCTTTAACTTTTCACCAGCTTCAACGGGTTGAGAAAGAATAGATTCTTCTTCTTCTCCTTCGTCTTCTTCTCCCTTTGTATCTGAAGAAATTGGAGTTTCAGGTTTAGGTCCGTTATTACTGGCGTTCTTGTGTTCATAGTTTTCGTAATCTTCATTTGCCTTCCGTATCTGATGCCAAATGAATACATACAAACGGTGTTACAGAGGATAGTTATAGATTGGCAGAGGCGGATTATAGATAAAATTTCAAGTGGGTTACAAAATAATTAACATAACATAAAATAAAACAAAAAAGTAGCTGTTTTTTTGTTTTTTGTTTAACCTTGATATCCGACCCGCTATGCGAGCCGACTAATCCCAGAACGACCACCTGCTTTGCAGATAGCCCGGAGTCACCACATGTGAACCTCCATGGTCACAAGGGGATTTTTATTCCTCCTTGGATTTGAACCTCGGACCTCCAGGTACTTTTGACCTTTGGAGCCAAGCTCAAACCAATCAGATACCACCCTTGTGGTTAAAAGTAGCTGCTTTAGTAGTTAGGTAACTGGTAAAATAGGTACGTCGGTAAAAAAAAACAAGAAATATGAAGGCCGACAAACAGTAAAGGGTCCCACAAGTAAATACATAAATAAGACATGCTGAATAGGGGGAACTGGGCATACTTCAACCGTGTCGAGATCAACACCATGTTCTTTGAGAAGTGATAAGAATAAGTTGAGGCTCTCATCTGTTGGACGGTAGTGTCCACTGTATGGAGAGATGGTCTGCAAACAACAAAAAATTGAGTTTAAAAAGAAAGGATTAGGTGAGGGACTGGAACTAGATAATGGTGATTAGGTAGAAAGGATACCTACTGATTACTTAAAAAATAACCTTACTCATCTTGAAAATATGAAAATTAATAATGTCTAATATGACAAAACATAGCCATCGAAATGCGTAATCGGTTATCATCAAAGATTAGTTATTATCGAAAAAACTAAGCCATCTGGGAATTAGCTGATAAATTAGCCAAGTTTGATAAAACTAGCTTATAATGTAGATAACAATTCAAAATGACATGTTCCAAAAATAATGGACATAATTGGAAAAAAAAAAAGACATGTAGCTCATTGAAACGTTATTTGAAGTAGTTTCAAAAGTTAAACGGAATTTTTCAATAACTTAATAAATAAGCTAGCTTATGGTCGCCAAACATGGCCAAAACCTCGTTTGGGGTGAAGAACTTACTTGTATGTTCTAATGGATTAGATTCTAGCAAGCCTATGATAAACCAAACCAAACTAAACATACACGGGATATCCCAATATTGCAGGCCTCTAATGTCTAATGATATCAACACATGATACTTCTCTCAAAAGCAAAACCATCAACTAAAAGCATTTGTCGTATACCTTAAGTGTCCCGTTCTCCACATCAAGCCTTCCTGCAGCTAAAGTAGCTCCCCCAGCGAGAAAGCTCGAATGATGGAACTTTCCTTTCTTCTTCTGGCAGTAGCAATAAGAGGGAAAAGAACGTGTTAACCATTTGATAGTGTGTGAGGATATGTGAGACCCCATTAGATTACTCTTTAGAAGAGTTCTTGAGGAGGGAAATCGAGTTTCAACATATATTGAAGAGAAAGTGTCCAAGTCTAAGATGATGTAGGACTCTTAACACGCCCCCTCCAATAGAGGCTAGACAGGATCTTGGCTTTGATACCATGTAAAAATATGTGGAACCCCATTAGATTACTCTCCAAAAGAGCCCTTGAGGAGAGAAATGAGGTTTCAACATATATTTAAGAGAAAGTGTCTAAGTCTAGCCGATGTTGAATTCTAACAGCTAGTTTTGCCATAGAACACAAGAGGTCGTGGCCTTTATTTTAAATCTCACCTCGCCAGCATAGAGTCTCTTAGAGGTACTCATCACAAATATCCACTTTGTCCCATTTGTTGTATCAAGGAGGAAATTGGTTCGACTGTGCATGATCTTTCCTTCAACGATGATATACTCGTAATGCTCTCTCTCTTGCTGTTCAGTGATCCAAGATTAACATTCTTGATTGTGTTTTTATTTTATAAAACAAAGTGTGTTTTTATTTTATAAAACAAAGTGCAATAAATCATGAAAAACATACAGGTCCAAGATACTTGATGCACTGTTGGCGAAGCTTTGATCTTGGACATTCTTTTAGATCAACCTCTTTTCCTTCTCCAACATCCAGCCTGCAAGAAACTGGAATTTAAAAATTGTCCATTTTCTACCATTTATGCATTTTACTATGGTCTTAACTTCATTCAAATTGCAAAATTAATAAAATGGTGATTCTGGATGAACCCCCTCCGCTTGCTAAATACACCCCCAATCATTTTCATCCTCAAACATCAACATCGACCTCCCTCTTTTTACATTTCCAATGCACGAATGACTCTAATTTGACCCAAAAGAGGGGTTCACTTATCAACACCAATAAGAAAATCAAGAGGCCTGATGAGATTCTCTTTCTTTCTTCAGCCCCTTCAGGTTGAGATCAAATCAGACTTTGGACTCATCAGTAATTAACATGTGTACCATTTCCACTAAAAGATTTCTTGCACAAAATTCATTCATACATCCTTCACAATTATTCTTACTGATGAAAAAACAACTAAGCATGCCAAAATCGACAATTATTGATCCCCAGCTTTCACTTTAATCATGTGGGGTCAGAACAAGAGGTGAAGAAAACGATTGATCATTTTAGTAGACATAAGCATACTCAAACCCCACTTTACATGATTTCCAACATTAAAGTTTGAAATGGGAAATAAATATGTGGTTCCTACAAACTCTTAGCCTTCAGATCTTATTGATATATTGGAGGATATACCGATATTTATTTAGATGACAAGAACACATATGATAAAATATCATAATAATTTATTGGCAGAACTGGTACTGGTGAAAACAAGTTTACAGCAGCAAATCAGCTATACATACCAGTAGAAAAATGGCTGGCCTGCATCAGCCTTGCACCATTCTTTATAATATATGTGCAAGCTATGCCCATACCGGTGTCTCGGATCAATCTGAAATTATTTGACACAAGATTTACAAAAGGGTCATAGTTATAACATGTTATCTTTTTGCAATTTGACTCTGGAGAAGGCAAAAATGTAAATCAAAAACCCAAAACTTACTGCTTCAATCCAGTGTTGAAATGCCAATTTATGAGCTTTGGAATCTAATGATAAACCCTTACCCACCTGCCAGAACAGTACAATTTTAGCCCTATTTGCTTAGATTCGAAGAAGAAGACAGAAACAGCAGGCTGTTCTCAAGAACAATCATTATCACGACGAACAAAATTTTGTTTTTCTTGTATGCTTGCTATACCTCTCCAATAAATCTTTCTTCCCAAAAGGAAGATATGGAAGGGGTACCTTAGAAGCGTTCAAAGAGATTCTGTTCCACCGAGAAGCTGCTGATTCTGGTTTTTGGAAATTGAAGAACGAAATAGTGCTGTGATTCAATCGGGCGAAATCAATCGCTTGCCACCTTCAAAAATATGCAAGGAGAATTCGTCATTGACACATCGCCAGTGAAATCAACGAAGAATCCAAATTGTGCACCAAGTGTTCGACCATACAACTATGTAGATCACAGAGGACAGATGATGAATAATTGCATATCCTTACGTCAAAATCATATAATCAACGGTTGAAATTACTGTACAAAACATGTTATAATAAACAAGCTCAAATCTCTCACTCTCTTCCTCACAAGTGTATAGTAATACCAAAGTTCCTCAGCAACAACGGCGGAATCTGCCAAGAGACGACGAGTGCGATAACCTCTATAAACCTTCTGAAGCTTCATGGCGGCGTCGGAGTGAGAGGTAGGGCTCTGACATTCAGCATCTGCCGCCGCAGATGGCAGCTGAATACCGGCGTTAAGGGAGGAAAATAAGGCTGCTCCCATTTCAGAATCTTCGATGTCAAGGTTCAATGAATGGGCGATATCAGATGAAGAGGAGTATAGAGAATAGGGTGGTGGTTTTGGTTTTAGATCGAAAGTTGTAGGGGTAGGGGGGCTGGTGTCGACCTCCATTAGAGAAATGGTAGTGGGGTTTTTGCGGGGAAGGTAGGGAGCCGGAAGAAATGGCAGCTATGGAGCCGTGGTGAGTTGAAACCACAGGGTGAAGTGGGGATGCCAATTGCCAACCTACCGACCAGTTCCGGTAGTAATATTTATGGTCAGTCATGCTCGTACAAGTAGGTATAACCATAATAATTAATAATATATTTCATAAAAATAATTTATTATTATTATTATTAATAAATAATTATCGGAGTGAATTACATTTTTAGTCCCTACTCTTTCATGATTTTAATGGATATAGTCCTCGATCTAAAAACTTAACCAAATATGGTGTTCTTAAGTTTTTGTTCTTAAGCTATTTCTTTCATATCAACTATGTCCCGTTTCCAATAGCGTTGCAGTTCTGCCATCTCCATTCTAGCCTCCATCCACGATGACTTCTCTTTTCTCCCCCCTCATTTTCTGTATTTCTCTTTGTCTCGCTCTCTTCACTATACAACTAAATCTAACCATCATCGATCAACAATAGAGGCCATATCTTTCTCCATCTTTCACAACAGTTATGCCTCTCTCCATCAGTCACCACCATCTATACATCATTCCATGACCATCGTAGCAGTACTATCTCCATTCTAGCCTCCATCCACGGTGACTTCCCCTCTCTCCTTCATTCCCCCTCTTCCTTCACTACACAACTAAATCTAGCCATCATCATCATCATCATCATCATCAACAACAACAACAACAAAAGGGTCATCTTTTTCTCCCTCTTTCACATCAACTATGCCCTCTCAATCAGTGACCACCATCTGCACATCACCTACCATCGTCGTAACACCTCTATCTCCATTCCTGCCACCATCCATAGTGACTTCCCATCTATCCTTCTTCATTCCCCCTCTCCCTTCACTACACAACTAAATCTAACCATTGACGTACCTAAATCAAAATCTAACTATCTTCATACAAAACCCTAGATCTCTCCCCCCCCTGTCTGTCAATCCTCAAAGATCATAAGTAACATGAGGAATCATAGGCATCATTAGAGCACAAGATCTACTGTATGAGTTATGTTTCTAAATCTCGAAATTAAGGTTAGATGAACAAATCGATAGGTTAGGGTTTAGTATGAGGTTATAGATTCAATACTTTTGGTTTTTTTTTTTCCTCATTCCATCGTTCAATGAATGTATAATGCAATTGAGTTTATTCCATTATAATCAAGTAAATATTTTATGCTTTTATTACCATGGTATAATGCACTTGTATTTCTTGATTTTAGACCAATCAATACGATTATATTAGACGACAATGATTTACGTAGAGGATGGGTTTATTCAGGTTTAGGGTGGGGTTTTGCACATTGTGTATATGTATATGTGCATTTGTGTGTAATATATAATATAGAAGAGGAAAAAATGGGACACATATAGTATTTTAAGTGTTCGTTTTATAAATATTTTAATTTTTAATAGAAAAATAAGACAAAAATCTTAAAAGACCAAATTGTCTCTCACTCTGACACTGTGTTTTCAAAACCTATTTTACAAAGGAAAGGAAAGGAAAAGAAAGAGAAAGAAGAGAAAAGTAAAAAAAAAACTTGTATTCTAGAAACTTATTTAATTAACATTAATGACAAGGATCCAAGCTATTGCAAAACATTGACACGTTTTATTAAATATTCAATAATTATTATTATTATTATTATTATTATTATTATTATTATTATTATTGAATGGTTTTCTTTTCGATTCTTAAATAAATACATTAATATCTAGAGTAAATTATATTTTTAGTTCCTATGATTACTATTCACTATCAAGTACTAACAACACTTATAATCTTTATGGTTGGCATTTTGTTATACTTTGGTCCTTGTGACTAATTTCTGTTAAAGAAGTCCGTTAACTCAACGACATTTTTGTTAAAGGAAAAACCAAATAGAACAACAATAAAAAGAAGAGAATGAATATGTAGTTCTTATTGACAAAAGCTCTTTATATAGGGATGATTTAAGTAGATAACTACGAGAGATATCAGTTCTAATCCATCCCTAATATGTTTATATCTATTTATATCGTCATATCCTTTAGAGAATGACACATTTATCCTACAACACTCCCCCTTGTGTCGAGTCAAAGAAGTGATAATGCACAACTGTTGCCTCGTTAAAACTTTACGCCAAAATAAAAGCCCAATGGGAAAAAGAAGGATGAAGGAAAATGTATAATGCACCAACTTCTTTGCAATACATAGACTTTTCTTTAGTCTAATATTCTCTCAAATTTGTATATTAATTATGAGAGTTAGGAAAGCAGAATTATATATAAATTGTTGCCTCACTAAAAACTTGCACCAATGAGCAAAACCCAATGGGAAAAATAAAACCTTGGTTGAAGAAAAGAGCACAACATACCAATATTACATATATAGTAGATTCCCCCTTTGGTCTACTACTCCCCTTGATTCGTGCATTAATAAAGGGAGTTTGGAAGTCTATACATTCAGATACTTTCTACATGTTTCCAAATATGGTTTTAGTTAATGATTTGGTAAGAAAATATGTCATATTCTCCTGTCATCTTACTTGATTCACTTGAATCTAGAGAAGAGTTTGTTATTGCTGATTGTATAGAAACTTAAGCATAATATGCTTTGTGCTATCACCCTTGATGTATCTTACTTTCATTTATCTTATACATGATGCATTATTTCCATATATGCTGTAGGATTGTGGTTGATCTCAAAACATTAGATCATCTACTATATGTAATGCTAGTCCTTAACCATCTACACTCTTGAAATCATGTAGAGTAATTCTTGGAATAGTTTGAGAGGATAACTATAAGGGTTTGCTTAGTTTACTTCTAAGAAATCAACACGTTCCCTTGGGTAATTCCTTATCCAGTTTGGGAACAACCTTTACATGGGTTAGACGGATACCTAATATCAGCAAATACAAACCAAGACACTGCTTATTGTGTTTCTATAAGGGTTCATACTTTTGCCCTTCATTATCTAAGTAGGTATTGGAGTTTCATTATCAATTCCATTTTCTTCTCTGAAGAGAAATTATAAGCTCACGTCAATGGTTCCAAAAGATTAATCTGATATCATTTGAATAACGTTGCATTGGCGCTGAGCTAAATCTAGATTACAAGTTCACTGGAAATAAAATATATGGTCAAACGGTATAATGCTAAGTACAATAATGCACCTATCATACTTAGGTATGTAATTCAAGCTCCAACACCTCTTCGTCATCATACTTTAGACGAAATAGATTTTGCCTTATTGTAACTTACCTCTGCTTGGCAATTGCCTCTAAATGTGTTCTAATGTGTTTTATGTGTTTAATAAGATAGATTATGTGTTTTTATTATGTTCTATAGAGGACTTGTAGAAAAATCTTTAAGAAATTGAAGGGTTTCACAGGTTAGAGTTAGAAGCTTCATTCTCTCGTTCAGAATTTAAATAACTCTGAACTCAAGGTCTTCAAATTTGATATTTAGCATTTGTCGGGTCTTCAGACTTCTAAAACTCTAATGTCTTCTTTTCCAAAGATGTGAAGAATGTCTTTTTAGACTTGTAAAACTCTAAAATCTTCTTTTCCAGAGATCTGAAGAATGTCTCTTCAAACTTGTAAAACTCTGAAGTCTTCTTTCCCAAAGATTTGAAGAATGTCTCTTCAGACTTGTAAAACTCTAAAGTCTTCTTTTCCAGAGATCTGAAGAATGTCTCTTCAGACTTATAAAACTTTGAGGTTTTCTTTTCCAGAAATCTGATAAATGTCTTTCAGAGTATAGTTCAACCAGAATAGCTATGAACCTGAATGATTGTGGACCAGAGGCTCTGGTCGTCTAGAGGGTCTCTGGTTGGTCTGAATTCTGGGTGGCTTTGCTTTTGGTTGTTCAATTAAACCTTGGAACGCTTGTAAGATGAGCCATGGAACCTTCACACTAACGGGCTAAGTAGAAGACCCAGAGACTCTACATGTGCCATGCAGAGGCTCTGTATTTGGGAGTTGAGCACCGTATCCGAGTACTTAGCTATTTGCACACAAGACTTCGGTCTTTATACCCTCGGTGTCTGAGCTCTGCATCCGAGCTCTTGGTTCCAAGCAACTTTATAACCAAGTCCTTTTGGACTATATCATCTTCATACTGCATCTTCATATTTGACACTTAGCGTCCAGAGCATAGTTCATCCAGAGGGGATCGATCCCTTGGACTTAGTGTCCAGAGGTGCTTCGATCATCCAGAGGAGCTCTGGTCCTAAATGCTTATGGACCAAAGGTTCTGGTCTTTAGAACCAGAGGCTTTGGTTTCTCTTCCAGACTTAGCCGATTTAGTAGTGCAGATTCTCTTAACCTCCCATTCTTGCCTAAATTATTTTAATTAAACTTTGAATAATATTTAGGACTATTTTAGTCCTAACACTTTTTCTGGATTATATTTGATAAAAAAATAATAAATTATCTTGTTAGAAACATGTGGGCGAAAAGTTACGAAATCTTTCTACATGTTCGATGATCAAAATGGGTGTTGGGTCAACCCAGCCGGGTCAAACTCGACCCAAAATGAGTTCTTTTACAATAAAGTGACAAGTAGATCTTCTCACATCATTTTTTACTTCTACAAACTTCTAAACCAAAGCGTGTGTGTAAATTCACACACCTAAAGCTATAATCTAGCAAAATTTTGGATAAACTGCAAAGATTTTGAAGATTTAAAGATATAAATGTTAGTATTTAGATTTTTTTGATGTATTTGGATGCATGCAACAGGGGTCAAGCTCTAAAATGATGATTTTTGATGAATAAGCTTGAGTTTTGCTAATTTTATAAAGGTTATAATATTTTGAGATAGAAATATGAATTTGGTTCCAAATAGGAATGGTTTGGATACAAGATTGATAAAAATAGCCATTTTTGAAACATTAAAGTCAATGTTTCTGTCCTATTTTAGAAAATTCATATAAAATCAAAGAAAAATCCAATGGACATGAGGTGAATGACATCTAAAAGATAAAAGTGTCTACTTTATTTTTTCTGAAGTTAGGGTGTAATTCTGAGTTTAAGATGGTCAAAATATGTTAGAACTGG